GTAGGCCTGTATAATTGCATTCTAGTCACGGATCTTAGTTAATGGAGGTCACATGAGATTTTAAGCTCAAGCAGTTAACCTAAATCATGTTTTGTTTCATTTTTCAATAGTTCATGCTAACACATATTGAAGTTGAAGTTGAATCTGAATGAATCACTGACATGCAGTGACAATAATTACTTACTGCATTGAAGACATTTGAAGTGCATTTTGTTGAAGCAAACAGCACTGACCATGAGATTCATGTTATACTATTATCTAAGGCTGGGACGGGTCCAAATTTTCAACCCGGGTACCCCACCCACTATTATTTATTTGTAAACCATCGGCATACAGCCTTTATCATACACAATGGGGACAGGGAGCGTGAAAGTATAGCGTAACAGCAACTAAGAAAATGATGTCGTACTTGCCTATTTCACGTTCTGAATCATCAAACAAACTGTGCTGATTTCAGTTATTGTCAGAGCTAATTCTCACCCAGAGGACAACGCACTTAACTACAAAAATACCTTCATGTCAGTCTATATACCCTCTCTATAAGCTCAATACACATGCTTTTCTCACGACCTTGACGGAACGCTTCCCAGCTGCCATCTGGAGTAAGTAGCAGCAGCAGCACCTGTCACAGTTGTTCATTCTCACCTGCATCCTGCTGGTTTATTTCAAATAACTATACTCATAAAAAGTAAGGGAACCTCATTTTAATTTACGATTGAAAAAAATGGGAGATATATCGGAGTCAATCAATGTTGATATGAAAATAATGAATGTTTAGAGAGCGCATCACCACTTGCACTTCCTTATGACCATAGTTGTTTTTACAGTAATCGCTCTTGAAGGATGATTGGTGTATGACGTGAAATTTACATGTGTGCGATTTTCATTTTCAAACAAACAAAACATACAGCTAGAAACAAACACTAACGACTGTGTGATGCAAGACGATTGTCAAAATTAATGGATTTATCGACCTTCTGGAAAACTGTTTAAATCAAGAATGACACACAATGCACATGTATGGGGCTGCTGCGATGTACACGTGCGTTGTGTTTAGGGTCGGTGATAAAGAGAAATGGTGGTGCGTTCAAAAGATGTCTGTATTTGAAAAGTTTGTAAAGCTTATACTTTTTATCCAATTTGAAAGTTCAGGTTCCACTTTTTTGGAGTGTTTATTATGAATTTATGATGTACGCACTTGGGCAGAAACCTTCCAGTCAACATATCACAATATGTATTGCAATATCTCTTAAACTATTGCAATATATCGCAATATGAGAATCAGGGCAATATCCAGCCCTACTTTTCACACTTTCGAAATATACGCTCATTTGCAAGACATTTTACTGACACTGTAAATAACGTAAAACTACTTATCATTAAACTGCGTAAGTTTTACAAGTCTTTTATAGAGTATCTTCAAAACACATAAGTCCTTCTTTAAACATTTACAATCCAATAAAGCTGTCAAAAACTAAAGTCCTGACACGGAGAAACATGTAACAATTCACATTTACTCTGTAACTGAAGGAATATCAATGGTGCGGGCACAGTGGCTTTCGTCGTAGATAAACTAGCCTTGTGTTTAGTTATCGTTAGACCAGCCACAGAAAAGGCGTTGTTCTGGACTCAAGAATTCCAGCGTCACGAGGCGTGGTTCAAATACTGTAGCAAGCATCAGGCACTTAAGCCACTTCATGACGTCCATCAACCGACTGTTGAGCAATTTGCTGTCTTTTCTTTCACATTAGTGTTTATAGTGTCTGTCAGTGAGTGAGTTTAGTTTTACGCTGCTTTTAGCAATATTCCAGCAATATCACGGGACACCAGAAATGGGCTTCACGGATTGTATCCATGTAGTGAATCGAAGCCAGGCTACCCCAACGCCCCTGATGTTTGTGAATGAGCCCATTGGCCAGAGGGTACATAGGTATTCAGTTCGTGAAGGGCATTTTTAGAGGTTGGACGAACACACACGTTCATGGATAGCAATACATGACACCTTTATGGACAGCATTCATTCCTGATGAAGGGGCATGAATTAGCTCTGAAACGTCGTTTTCAGAATAAAAAGAAGTTATCCATAAACGTATAATTTATCCACGTTGTATAGGACATTCCTCTAAACAAAGGATTCAGCTGAAGGCACAAGTGGTTTCAGAGCACATGTCAACGCGTCCAGACGGATTTGGGAATCAGTGAGCATGCCGGTGCTTTTATCAGTTGTTTTTGTCATTAAGCACAGCAAACACGTCTAGACGGAGGCGAAGTAGCATCAAGACGTATAAGGAATTTTACATGGTCACAAGACCGCCTCCGTGGTGTAGTGGTAAGAGTATCCGCCCGGAGAGCGGAAGGTCGCGGGCTTTATCCCCGGCCGCGTCATACCAAAATACGTTAAAATATGGTACTTGTTGGTCCCTGTCTGGCTCTCTGCATTAATGGGTACAACAAGGACTGATCAGCTCGGAGTCTGTATAATGTTTCTGAGTGGGGTATTCATGCTTCACTGCGGCATGGTATCTCAGTGGGCTAGCGCCATAAAACCAGCTTAAGTCTGGGCTAGTACAAGCAGCCACACATACACACACATGCACACACCGTCATATGAGCGAAATATTCTTAATGCGACGTTAAACCCCATTTCCCCTAACATTATCACAACGTCTAGAATCAGTCACTTTAGACCCTTTCCTCGCTTTCGTTGATGGTAATGAAGAGAAGCAGCTGCTGAGACTGATCTGTGGGAAAAATTAGCAATCCTTCTTGTTGACAGATAGTAAACCCAGACCGTCCTTAATAGCAGCCTGGACATTTTCGTAACCTGCTACGGGGCGGTGGGGTAGCATAATGGTTAAAGCGTTGGCTCGTCACGCCGAAGACCCGGGTTCGAATCCCCACATGGGCACAATGTGTGAAGCCCATTTCTGGTGTCCCCCGCCGTGATGTTTCTGGAATATTGCTAAAAGCGGCGTAAAACCAAACTCAGTCAGTCAGTCAGTCGTAACCTGCTACAGAAGCTGCTGCAGTCATGTAGCTGGCGTTGGCAGTCGTGACAGTCGACACGTTCAGTGTTTGAACTCCTGGATTCTATGAAGGACACCTGCTCTGCTACCACCAGTATGACAGGCTGGTCATTAAAATGACGGTGATGAATCCACGAGCCACACAGTTCGTCTAGGTGAGTCTGTGAGTGTGGTTTTACGCCGCATTTAGCAATATTCCAGCAATATCACGGCGGGGGACACCAGAAATGGGCTTCACCCATTGTACCCATGTGGGGAATCAACCTGGATCTTCGGCGTGACGAGAGAAGGCTTTAACCACTATGCTACCCCACCGCACATCGTCTTGGTGCCTGTGTCACTGGCGAGTGTTGAGGGGTTAAAGAGAATTTTCGCTTCTCTCCGTAATATTATACATCAGCATCATATATTTACAGACCGCCGCCATATAGCTGGAATATTGCTGAGTGCGGCGTAAAACTAAACTCACTCACTCTTAATGACGGTACAAGGCCTGGAATCTGTCACCTGTTGACCATAAAATATATATTGTTTTGACAGAAACACATAATCCCTCTTATATTGAAAAGGAGACCTATTGACAGGGAGATTCGGAATTTGAGCAAACCTAGACTTCTTTCATTGAGGGCTCTAGCATTGCAAAACGGGCTGGGTGGAAGGCAAAATAATCCGTTTCAGGGACTGTGAGATGTCAACTGTGACAATGAGGTATGAAACTGACTTAAATGCCAAATGCTTGGTTGAATTTGCTCAGATTTTAATTGGGTGTATATTGAAATTAATTGATTTTCTGATGCATAAAATATAACAAGCAAACTTGCCATATAGATTTTGAATCAAGGGGAATGAAGCGTCATAAAATCCCATTGTTGAATGCAACTGCGTCAACTTAAATGTATGCCTTGTTCATGATTATTACAGTTTGTATTATGTTTTACAGGTTAAAGATAGTATGCAATAGAGAGGGTTTGGGTGATCCTGGCACAGTCAGGCTGGTAAGGCCCATCATCAGCTTAGGGCCCTTGCCCCCTCTACACGCAGCCCAGACAGCGAATGGGACTTCTCCCAGGAAACGCTTCCAAGTCAAACCCACCAAGAACTTTCCGGAGAATATGAAGACTCCCCAACACTGCAGCCTTCTGCATTACCCAGAGTGTCAGAAGGGCTGTGCTCTCGGTGGAGAACCCGGGCACTCTCCTGATCTGCGCCAAGAGATCAGGAGGTACCAAACAAAGGGCACCGAGAACAATGGGGAGTCTGACGACAGTGTACTTGGGATGCAAGTATATGTTATTTGTATAGCTGCTCAAAGGCGTTTTGTTTTTCCATCGATCAATTTTCCCTCTTGCAGCCGTTTAGGCGCACCAAGCAAACGTGGCTTCTTTGATATTTTTCTAAATTTGCGATTTGTGTTGCTTTTGAATTTATATGGGATACTTAACATGTCTAAGAAACATTTTTTATATGCAAATGAAGATCACACACAAAGTATGATTCTATGCTGATCGATATGCCACATTGCCGTCCAATGCTAGCATAGATAAGCATATTTCATCACTGCCATCATACCTCAAGCAATGTGGGGAGGTGGGGTCCGCCCAGTGGTTAAAGCGTTCACTCGTCACACCGAAGACCCGGGTTCGATTCCCCACATGGGTACAATGTTTGAAACCCATGCCTGATGTCTCCCGCCGTGATATTGCTGGAATATTGCTAAAAGCGGCATAAAACTATAATCACTCACTCACTCACGCAATGTGTGTCAACCATGCAGAAGTAACATTTGTAGTTGTGTACAAACCACCAACATCTAAGAAATCTGAAAAGGGAACTTCGCGAAGAAGGAATGAGTAAAATCTACTGATTTGTATACTTACTGTTACATGTACAATTACCACTGTTAATTGTATCAAATTACTTGTTTTTATATTTCGCACCGGTTTCTAGATTACACTGTAGTCATTTGGATCATACCTGTCCTGTTTGCAATCCCTTGAAGAAAGTAGAACTTTGGCAACGTGTCGACTTTTGCAAGATGGCTGCCCCGCATTTCGCAGTATCGCTTCGCATTATCCCAAGTCATATTCACCGAGACGTATTCATATTCGATATTCGCAGCGAAGTCTTGAAAGAAAAAGGTACCTGAAACGATGAAACTCAAGGTGTGTATTCCCGTGTATAGGATGGTATGCCAGAAAGTACATACCCGATGGGCGGGTGAGGATCCGGGTTAGATTTGGTCTTCAGCAACCCATGCTTGACGTATGAGGTGACTAACAGGATCGGATCGGCACGCAGGTTGACATATGTCATCGTGTCACAGTTGTCTAGATAGATGTGTGTGCGTACGTGCGTGCGTACGTTCGTGAGTGTATATGTATGTATATATGCCAATATATGTTCATAATAATAACAATCTTACCACATTTGGCTTGTCCAGTTCTCTCCACTGTACACGGTTTGGAAATCTTGCACCACACATTGGCGCAGGGCCCAGCTATTTCCTACAAGTAAACATACGTCGATCATCAGTACACAAATTGTGGCATCCAAGTAATGAATCACAAATGAGTGCTCAAGGGGAAGTGTTAGTTGGAATTTAGTGTGTCATTTTTCTGCTGCGTTTGGAAGCAAGCTACAACCGTTTATTTAGCACCTAACCCGTGAAGACTCGAGTTAGTACTGGTCTTCAGTAACCCATGCTTGTCTCCCCGTGAAGACCCGAGTTAGTACTGGTCTTCAGTAACCCATGCTTGTCTCCCCGTGAAGACCCGAGTTAGTACTGGTCTTCAGTAACCCATGCTTCTCTCCCCGTGAAGACTCGAGCTCCCCGTAGTACTGGTCTTCAGTAACCCATGCTTCTCTCCCCGTGAAGACCCGAGTCAGTACTGGTCTTCAGTAACCCATGCTTGTCTCCCCGTGAAGACTCGAGTTAGTACTGGTCTTCAGTAACCCATGCTTGTCTCCCCGTGAAGACCCGAGTTAGTACTGGTCTTCAGTAACCCATGCTTGTCTCCCCGTGAAGACTCGAGTTAGTACTGGTCTTCAGTAACCCATGCTTGTCTCCCCGTGAAGATCTCGAGTTAGTACTGGTCTTCAGTAACCCATGCTTGTCTCCCCGTGAAGACCCGAGTTAGTACTGGTCTTCAGTAACCCATGCTTGTCTCCCCGTGAAGACCCGAGTTAGTACTGGTCTTCAGTAACCCATGCTTGTCTCCCCGTGAAGACTCGAGTTAGTACTGGTCTTCAGTATCCCATGCTTGTCTCCCCGTGAAGACTCGAGTTAGTACTGGTCTTCAGTAACCCATGCTTGTCTCCCCGTGAAGACTCGAGTTAGTACTGGTCTTCAGTAACCCATGCTTGTCTCCCCGTGAAGATCCTAGTTAGAACTGGTCTTCAGTAACCCATGCTTGTCTCCCCGTGAAAACCCGAGCTAGTACTGGTCTTCAGTAACCCATGCTTGTCTCCCCGTGAATACCCGAGCTAGTACTGGTCTTCAGTAACCCATGCTTGTCTCCCCGTGAAGACCCGAGTTAGTACTGGTCTTCAGTAACCCATGCTTGTCTCCCCGTGAAAACCCTAGTTAGTACTAGTCTTCAGTAACCCATGCTTGTCTCCCCGTGAAAACCCGAGCTAGTACTGGTCTTCAGTAACCCATGCTTGTCTCCCCGTGAATACCCGAGCTAGTACTGGTCTTCAGTAACCTATGCTTGTCTCCCCGTGAAGACCCGAGTTAGTACTGGTCTTCAGTAACCCATGCTTGTCTCCCCGTGAATACCCAAGTTAGTACTGGTCTTCAGTAACCCATGCTTGTCTCCCCGTGAAGACCCTAGTTAGTACTGGTCTTCAGTAACCCATGCTTGTCTCCCCGTGAAGACCCGAGTTAGTAGTGGTCTTCAGTAACCCATGCTTGTCTCCCCGTGAAGACCCGAGTTAGTACTGGTCTTCAGTAACCCATGCTTGTCTCCCCGTGAAAACCCGAGCTAGTACTGGTCTTCAGTAACCCATGCTTGTCTCCCCGTGAAAACCCGAGCTAGTACTGGTCTTCAGTAACCCATGCTTGTCTCCCCGTGAAAACCCTAGTTAGTACTGGTCTTCAGTAACCCATGCTTGTCTCCCCGTGAAAACCCGAGCTAGTACTGGTCTTCAGTAACCCATGCTTGTCTCCCCGTGAAGACTCGAGTTAGTACTGGTCTTCAGTAACCCATGAGTGAGTGAGTGAGTTATGATTTAAAGTCACATCGGCAATATTTCAGCCATATTGTGACTAAAACTAGTTCTAAATGCAGAATACATACATATAAGATATAAAACCCAGTCAACGAAGTACAGTAAAAGTACAAGATTATCACAAAATGATTTAAAACTAGCTAGCAAAATCTTTAAAAGTAGAAAACTATTTTTGGACAATGCATTGTAAAAATGGGTTATTTATCTGAAGGTAGATCACCATACTAGGAACCACGGGGACTTTCTTTACGTTTGCTACCTGCATGGACCCTAGCAGGATTTACACCATCCCTTCAGCCGCTGGCGATTGTAGGATAATTAAGCCGACATTTAAAAGAACACAAATACTACGTTTAAAAACTCGGTACGTGAAAATTTTACTTTGAAAGTTTTTTGGAATTACGTACCCTCTCAGGAGGACAATAATTTTATTTCGCTTTACTGTCAAGGGGCCCTCTTTGAGGTTACAGCCACTAACACGCCGTAACCGGGTTCGATGCTTGTCGTTAAGGCGACTTTCTTGTGGTCAATTGCTCGCTGCGTTTAGTTGACACATGTCATCGTATCCCAATTGCAAATGATCGATGCTCATGCTCGATGCTCATGCTGTTGATCACTGGATTGACACGTGTCATCGTGGTCCAATTGCAAAAATCGATGCTCATGCTGTTGATCACTGGATTGTCTGGTCCAGACTCGATTATTTACAGACCGACGCCGGAATATTTCTGAGTGCGGCGTAAAACTAAACTCACTCACTAAGCTTCTTAATAGCGTTAATAGCATCTCTATCTATGAGTGAGTGAGTGAAAAGATATCATCATTGCTGGGGCAGTCGACACATACTTCTACGTTATGGTATTTAAGATTAAAAAGTTAGAAGTTAATTCAAAGATTAAGTTTAAAACCTTAGTTGAAAAATCATGATCCTTAGCTGAAATAGATTTAACAATTCTTTAAAATAGTCCACTCATGTTTCAAGTGCAATCGTAGACTCTCCTGAAAGATGTTCAATTCTTATCATATACAAGTTCATTGTTAACTCGAAGTTTCTATATCGACATTTTAACATTACAATACTATTGAAAAATCACAACACAGGCTATAACAGTATTATTTACAATCTTCCAAAACTCCAATGACCGACAATTTGGATATTTCCATATTTACTCGAGTAACAAGATATGTTTGATGCACTTCCCCATCTGAATTTGTAACATGTGGGTTTCTTTGCCAAGTGAATAATTGTTGTGCCTTTGTGTGTGTTTGTTGTATACTGGGGATACCTATACGTAAGGACAATATCACCATTTCACAAGTATCATCACTGTATCGGCACCCGTGAAGAGCCACCTCCTCGTGGTGGGTGCTGGGTAACGCTAAGCGCTCTTCAACCCCCCGTATGGACCCGGGGGTATATTTGGTCCACAGCACCCCATTGCTGGCCTTGGGGCGAAATGGGCAACCTGTTTGCCGTGGGTTGCGCCCCTGTGTCGGTGGAGGACGGGATTTTGGTGTTTGAGGGCACTGGTTCCAGGAACAGCGTTCCTTTGCCCAACACACCACTTCGCCCCTTACTTCACCTAGACGGGTGGTAGAACTGGCCCGGTTCTATCAATCGGCTGGTCACGCCAAGCCCTGTGCTACAACTGTATACTGTCGCACACAAAAAAAACTTAAATGATAACATGATTTCTTTAAGTCTTGGCGAAATTATTTGATCTCAGAGTCGTATGCCCAGAAGGCGGTGGCTCAAGGGCCAATCTGGTGGAATTATTAATCTTTTAATTCTTCTGCCGGAGTATATCATCCGGTTATCCTTGGTGCTGCAAGTTGGAAATCCACTTGTTTTTTAGCATTGTCCTTGTGATACTCCGTGGTGGGTGGACAGCTCGGATGATGAAATCTAACTAACTAAACATGGCTTACGAACCCCGCCTCCAGGTGATCGGGCCACTGGCGGATCTTCGATCCTTATCAAACAGAACGTTATCCATAGCCCTGTTGCACTCACTACTAATCTTCAGGCTGTTGCAGTGCGACTAACTTTGCACTTTGCGTTTACATTATGCTCTCTCTTTATCTCTCCGTCTTCAACGTTTCACAAAACCGATCTTCAAGCTCTATATGACCAACTCCCGAAGCCCTGCATTATTATGGGAGATTTAAATGGGCACAACCCACTCTGGGATAGTGCAAATACAACGCTAAAGGTAAATTACTGGAGGAGTTTTGTTCAGATAATGATTTATGTATTTATAATGATGGTTCCAACACACATTTACACTGGAACCTATTCTGCTCTCGACTTGTCAGTCACAATTTCAGAACTACTAAATTAATTTGAATGGTCAGTCCACGATGACCTCTGTGGAAGTGACCATTTTCCTACTATACTAAAACCTGTAACTCCATCTGATGTACCTCCATCATCAAGGCGGAATTTTAAAAAAGGTTAACTGGGCTTTATATGAAACACTGTGTGCTACAAAACTTAAACCTGAACTTTTTGTTGACGTTCCTGATGCTATTAACTGTTTTTCTGATGAACTGAATACCATAGCTGATGAGTGTATACCACAGTCCTCTGCAATTCCACATATCCGAAAACCATGGTTCAATGATGAGTGCAAACAAGCTAGGAAGGCAAGGAAAAAAGCAGAACATTTCTTCTGTCGCCATCCTATGGTGCATAATTTAAATATATGTAAAATGTTAAATGCTACAGCGCCGCGTACCTTTAAACAGAATAAACGCCAATCTTAATTATGTATCCAAAATAAATTCTCAAACGCCCATGTCCAAGGTATGGAACATGGTCCAGTAAATTAAAGGTAAAGGTACTACATCTAGTGCCCATCATCTTAAACATGGAGATCAATTACTCAGATATTGCGAATAAACTTGGTGAAACTCTCGCTAAACACTCTTCTTCTTCTAATTATGTGCCTAAATTCCAACAATATCAAAAACAACAAGAAAGGAAAACTATTAATTTCAATTCAGATCATGAGGAAGATTATAATGAAACATTTTCTATTCATGAACTCTATACTGCTCTTAAGCAAGCTCATGATTCTGCTACAGGTGCTGATATCATACAGTATCAACTCCTGAAACACTTACCAGAATCCTGTTTGGAGATGCTCTTACACATTTTTGATCGACCGATTTCACAAACTAGCTGTGTTTGCAAAACCATGGAGCGCATGATAAATAATCGACTTGTTTGGTACTTGGAAACAAATTTCCTTAACAGATATTCAATGTGGTT